GTCCCTGGGGGCCTCATCCTGTTTTGTGCACTTGGTGTGCTCACTGTGGCTGCTGTGGCCATCGGTGCGAGGCGATGAGTGGTTTAGAAAAAGCTGTTCCCAAATAAAAGTGACAACAGCAGAGAGGCTCTTGCCTGTGTCTTCACAGGGCTTTTTTTGGGGGGGGAATGAAGTGGTGGTTGGATGCAAATAGTACTTGAAGGCTGAGTCACATCAGAGGGTTTCTGTTCCCTCTAGCACCGCTGGGACCCTCATCCCCTCCTTGCCCATGCTCTCTAGACTCAACACATGTACCAGGGATGGGAGATTACTTCCTCCAGCTTTCCTCCTGCCCGGAGAGTCACACAGGCATGTGGGGAGATGGTGCCACCCGCACTAGATACTGGACTGAGCGTGGTTGTGTGTGACACTGATGTAACGTTAGCAGAGAAAAGGCTGCTCTGGGCGTGCCCACGCACGCGTGTGGACACCATCCACAGAGCTTCATTCCTTCTAGTCATGATGGATTTCTCCTTTCTTTCATGACAAATTGCCAGCTAGATTTTTGCCCATCGCTATATCCCTGATATAAAGCAAATAACAAACAATATTGAAGGCATCAAAGTTGAGTTTTGGGCACAACAGGAGAAGAAAGACCTTGAGGGGTTGAAGCAGGTCCAGAGAAGGACAGTGAAGCTGGTGAGGGCTCTGGGGAACATGGCTTGTGAGGAGTGGCTGAGGGACCTGGGTTTGTTTAGTCTGGAGAAGATAAGGCTCAGGAGAGACCTTACTGCTCTCAACAGCTCCCTGAAAGGAGGTTGGAGTGAGGTGGGGGTCGGTCTCTTCTCCCAAGAAACCAGCAATAGGACAAGAGGAAATGGGCTGAAGATGCACCGAGGAGGTTTCTATTGGATATGAGAAAGAATTTCTTTCCTGTCAGTGCTGAGGCATTGGCCCAGGCTGCCCAGGGAGGTGCTGGAGTCCCCATCCCTGGAGGGGTTCAAAAAACATGGGGATGTGGCACCTGGGGCCACGGTTTAGTGCTCATGGTAGTGCTGGGTTGATGTTTAGACTTGAGGATCTTAGAGGTCTTTTTCAAACTTAATGATTCTAGGATTCTGTGATTCTAAATCCAGAGTGCTCAGACAGATATCAGAGGTTTAATTCTAACATACAGACAAGGAGAAGATGAGCATTTTCCCCGTGAGGTGGCTGAAGCATGGTGTCCTTGTGGAAATTGTTGCTAGCCTCAGAGGGTGATTTCCAGGAGTGACGTCCAGGAGATCCCTGTCCAAAGACCTTGGCAGAGGATATATTGCAAAGAAGCTAATGGGATTTCTTTTTTTCAGTCATTCCCAGACCTGAACCTCCTGATTCTGGGCTGGAGCAAGTCAATCCTCCTGTCTCCAACCGCAGGAATACCCACCCTTGGGGTGGTCCAGCACCAAAGGTCATCTCTGGCAAAGAGATGGATGGCTCCATCCTGGCTGAAGACAGACAGGTCATGGGCTCCCTCCTTTGCCCCTGCAAGAGCCCCTGGGGCATGAGGTCAAGGGCACTTCAAGACTATGAGCTGCAGACTGGAGGGACTTTGGCAGAAGAGGCATCTCCAGAGCTCCTTGCCCAATGCAGGCCACTAGGAGCAAGAGGGCTGAAGCAAAGAGCCCTGCTAAGGTAGACCAAGCCCACCAAAGGGTAAACTGGGGCATGGTAAAGAGAGCCCTTGTCTTCTGTGGGGAAGCTGCATCCGTTGGGATTGAAGCTTGCTCTCAGTGGGTGCACATGCAGGCAGGGAGGGAGGTCCAACCAGCTGGTCCTAGGAGACTGTGGTGGTTTTGTCATGTGTGGTGATGTGGGAGACAGAGCCAGTGGTCTCCTTCATCTTTGGGTAGTAGAGGACAACCAACCAGACGAATATGAAGATTCCTGCAGGGAAAGGAAGGCAGACACTCAGCAGCAGGAGATGGTGGGAAGCATCCTGCCAGGATGCTGCCAGCACTTCCCTGCTGCTTCCTGGGGGTTCCTCCAGCTCCCTTCTGCTCCTGCAAGAGGGTCTCCCCATGTTTCAGCTGAGCTAGTTGTCTGGGACATGCCCTGAGAAGATAATGTCCCTGTTTCTCTGCTAAGGAATGGCTTTCTTGGAGGAAAACCACCCTCAGTGGAGTGGATGTGGTTGGGAGCCATGACCAGCTCCATGCCAATGGCTGGGACCTGCTGCTTGATGTGCCCTGCCAAAGGGAAGGGCAATGACAGTGCTGTGAAGATGCTGGTGCCTCGGGACCCCTGGCCAACCCACTGCCAGGCTGGCTCCTGCCTCCTCCATCTTCCCCACCCAAGCCCAGGGAGCCCAGGTTGAAGCTGACCCTGACCTTGGAGAGAGTTGAGGATGGTGAAGAGGTAGAGCATGGGCACAGACAAGGTGCCGTGGTTAAGGAACTCCAGAGCCCAGGTGGCTCCCAGCAGGCAGAAGAGCCCCACCAACACCATGGCCACCTTCCAGGCCTTGCGGTCTCCCTGTATCGCCCCCGTGCCCTGCAGGCAGCAGCTTTTCTGGGTCACCACCCCAAAAACAGCCATGTTGAAGAGGAAGATGAGACCAAAGTAGCCACAGTTGGTGATGTAGTGGACCAGGAGATGTTTGGAAGTGATCCAGCACCTGAAAAGAGACAGTCCTGTGGCTAGCCCTGGCAGCACCCATGGGAGCCATGTTTGGGGATGCTGGGACATCCTTCTGCTGGTGAGGTTTTCCAAGGCCAGGGTGAAGCATAGGGGACATTGGTATGGATCTGCTCAGCTGGATCTGCTGCCCTCTTGTTGCTCAGCTGGGAGGGAGCCTGAGGAAGCTCCAGGAGGACTGTCACCTGAAGGCCTGCAGGCATGACCAAAGAGGCTCTGCACAAGAGATGGTGGTGGTTACCACTGCTGTAGCTGCTGTGTTGTAATCACCATTAGGGAAGTGGAAGGACAACCCAAAGCTGACCATGATGGGAACAACCCCCCACTGCCACACTCCTGCCAGGACCAGTTACTGCTCCCCACGCATGCCAAAGGGCCACCTAAAGCCTGGGGGTGGTGGCACACGCACAGGGTGGCTATGACCTGGTGGTCCGTGGTCTGGATGGTGTATTCTCCATAGCTGCCGAGGGCTCCTGCCACCCCAACCACGAGAGCAGGGAAGCCTGGAAGAGTAAGAGAGACACATGGAGGAAGGGAAGTGGCAGGCGAGGTGGTCAGCCTGGGGTCTCTGCCTGTCCCTGGATGTGTCGACCTCAGGGGAGATGGAACTTCAGGACCTGCTGATGTTGCACAAGTGCCAGGCACAAGGGTTGATGCTGGGATGTGATGTGGACAAGCAAGGACACTTCTGGGCAGCTGGGCTCCAGGTGTCCACTCATCCCTCTGCAGGATTATCTGCTCTGGTGCCCTCCCAAGGTGCTGTGGAGGGCTGGCAGGGGAGCAAAGACCCCCAAGCCATCACCTGTTCGATGAGCAGGAGGCTGGTCTCCAGCAGGATGGAGGATGCCTGCAGGTGCCACCCTGAATTTGATGCCCTGAGCCCATATAAGACACTTCCCAGCCCTGACCATGGCACTTGGAAGAGCTGTAGGCAGGAAGGGTGCTTGCTTGCTCTCTGCCCACCCCTGCATCACCCTTTTCCCCCTCTGATGTAGCCCCCTGCTCCCCTCTCCCCAGGCTCTCAGCCATGCTGGTCACGCTCACCCCAGCCGACGAGACACATCTTCACCACGTAGTGGTGGATGTAGGTGCCAAGGACCTTAACAAAGAGGAGGTAGAAGTGGCAGCCCTCCAGCGCCGTCCAGGTGAAGCAGCAGAGCAGGCAGTAGTGAGTGAGCCCCCCCAGGACCTTGCAGGTCCCCAGCTGGATCCAGCTGGAAAGCCCGCTGTTAAGCAGGAAGGCCAAGTTGAGGAGGAACAGGCTGCCCATGAGGTTTACATGTAGCCCCAGATTGACGCGGAGGATGTCCTCGAACCTGAACCTGCACCTGAGGGCCCCCAGAGGGAGCAGAAGAGGCAGGGGTCACAGCTGGGTGGGGAGGTATTGCAGAGACATGGGAATTGCCCCACATCTATCCCAGACTGAGAAGTCCCCAGGGAGCTGCTGGCACATCCTACCTTAGGAAGACGCAAAAGACAATGGTGAAGATGGAGAAAGCCATGGCTACTCCACAGCCAACAGTAGCAACAGCCGTCAAGCCTCGTGCTGTGGACCCATCCAGAGCTGGGTTCTGCCAAACGAGCATGTGCTGGGTTAGACAGGGTCTGGACCAACCTAGAAAACCCAACTGCAGCTATTCAGGGATGCCATGCAAGCCCGCAGTCTGTCCCCCCAGAAGGACTTTGCGGGGAGGAGGGAAGTGGTGGCTTAAAGGAGATACTCCCTGGGGTAGGGTGGGAGATGAATGAAGGCTGTGGTGGATCACCGTCAGCACCTTCGTGGGAGCCTCCACCAGGAGGTGGAACTAAGCCTTGCTACTCCAGAGCCTGCACTAGCCTGGGGGCCATTTCCACCCTGTACCCATTCTGCCGAGCTACTGCTGCCACCCTGAGCTGGGGCTGGCCTTGATTTTAGGACCTGGGCTTGCCTGGGAGTGGCTCTAACCACCCCTGTGCAGCTACTCGTGGCACCCGAGAGGCCACCAAAGGTGGGGCAGACAGCGCAGCCGGGACAAGAGCAGGAGCTGCGGGGAGTGGCACTGTCACCAGGAGGAGCGTGAAGAAGGTGAGATGGTCGCAGGAGCAGACTGTCCTCTCGTCCCCGGGCTGCGTGACACATCCGCTGCTGCTCCAGACTCCTGCCTGCCCTGCGACAGGCACAGGGCGACGGGCGTGAGCACCAGGCACAGCACCAGCCACAGCCCCACACCCAACCAGCCCCACCGAGGACCATACCTTTGCTGGGATCCCAGAAGACGCATTGCGGGGTGGTGCCCTGCAAGGGGGGAGAGCAGCCCTTGGGGTGCCCTGCAAGGGGGGCTCACACAGCAGCACGGGTGCTGGAGGAGAGCTGGAGGGACCACACAACTGACTTACGTGGGGCAGCTGCTCGTGGGCAAAGGTGAGCTGCACGGGGTCCCACAGGCCAGAGATGCTGGTCTCTCCCACTGTGATGCCCACCACGGTGTCGTTCAGGACCTGCCCCGTCTGGTTGACCTCCTGCGCAGGAGCAACGTTGCCTGAGCTGAGCCGGCAGGTACCAAGCGCTGGCGGCCAGAAGGACGCTGCCAGTGCACGTTCGTACCTTGAACATGCCGAGCTGCTGGATGTTGAGGACTGTCACCACCACACGCGCTGTCCGGCTGCTCAGGGACCGGAATATCTCCCTGGGGAGCTGGATTTTGCCTCCCACCCCCTTCTCTGTCTTGTTCAGCTCACTGGGGCCCTGCAGTGGAGAGCAGCAGTGGGAGGTTGCCTGCTGGAAGCATCCCAGTCCTGCTCAGGACCCACCAACCTTGCTCCAGGCACAAATTCAGCCCTGCCCAGGAGGGTTTTGTTAAGCAACATCAGCAGGAGCCCTGGGGGTATAAGGTACAAGGGTATATCTCACCTCTGTGGGGGAAAAGGCAATGAGGACATCATGGGTAACATCCCTGCTGACGTTCAGGAACAACGCCTTCAGCCTGGC